GCTACACTTTCAGCAACTTTCAGAAGACTGGTATAATGGTGGACAGATTGGGTACTTTATCTGTGATGAAAATGAGTCGGGAGAAAACAACAGAGGAAGATGAAGGAGCAAGTGAAGATCACCTGTTAGTGTCTAGAAGATTCGGAAGGGGGGTGCATTGCTGAGAGCATCGATTAGAGAAGAAGAGAAAATAGCTAACTATTGAAGTGAAACAACCGACCATTAGAAGTGATAGTGAATAGGGGAGAACTTATCTGGGTTCAGCCTAAAGAGGTTAAACATCTCACTAATTGATAACTAATTAGGATAGGGATTTGAGGTAGTAAAACAGTTACTTACTCTTAAGGTACTAATATTAGAAGATATTGTTATTGCAGTGTTGGGAAGAGATGCATTGTTTAAATTGAATTGTACAATAGGATGTACACTAGACGACTGGGTTTTTGGGAATCATTTGCTTAAAAAAGATAATATCATAGGAAGGATGATAATCTATTGTTCTGTCTATTAGACAATCTGTCTGGAAAAATAAAGTTAAAAGGGGTGACTATTATTCTGGGTTACATTCTTACACTAAGAGATTTCAGGCTAGGCTAAAAGGTGTTTAGTCGTTTGCCAAGTGTGTGTAATGAGTCAGAAGCAGGTGGGGAACTTTCCAATCACATATTCTGAAATTTGGTGGTAAAGAGATTTTGTGGATAAATCAGGGGAAAAGGTTTTAAATGTTATGAGAGAAAACATTAGATTAAAATAAGTTAGGAGTAGATTAGGGTTGAAGGAACTCTGAGACAGTAAGCTAAGTTTCAAAGTTAGTAGTAAGAGAGAGAACAATGGTGAAGGACACTGTAGAGTAGGAAGATCAAGGTAATTATAGGTGTATTTTGTGTAATCAAAAGTTTGAAAGTCAGGGATTTAGAGAAAGGACTGAGATTTGGGGAAAAAGTGACACTAGTGGTGATAGATGGAAGTACAAGCAGAGACATCTTTTCTTTGGGGAAAACTAGGAGTAACTAAGGACATTAACACTTCAGTTTATTAGAACAACAGGGAGAAGCAATTTAACTCTTTCAACATTGATAGTTATTAAAGCCATAAATATATCGCATTTGATTATAAGGGAACCAATACAGCACCAATTTTAGGGAAGAATACTTATTGGTGTTAGGATGGGGACGTTCCTCCCATATGGAGAATAATATTGTTATCAGGACCAGGAGTAGAAGCTGTTGCACCTAGTCAAAGGAGGGATAGTTTGTACAACGATATGAAGTGGAAGAGGTTAGGAGTGACTGTTCACTTATTTGGCGTAATGTTACAGAGAAAGGTCAGGGAGAATATATGTGTACTTATCTAGTGTAAGCATTAGAAGTTGTTCCGGTTAAGAATTATTGGTTAAAAGGATATGTAATTCGTAAAGTGATGCCTATAATGGAAGATTTGAAATTTGTTGAAGCTTCCGCAGTCACCGAGGGAGTTCAGGAGTAGATTACAGTAGTCACTCCAATAGTAGATAATACACATAGGATATCGGTAGCTTTCCTACTAGAAAGAATTAAGGATAATACATCAACTACTTTAATGGTAACTTTGGAAGGGATTAATGATACTATGGCAATAGCAAATGTAGGAGTATGACACCGACAACAACTTTTCTGAAATTAAAGGAGGCAGCAAGAGAGACTCAGGGGTTTATGTTCAGATAATGGTAGAGAGTCAATATAGATTCATCTGAAATAGTGAAGGATACTATCATGGAGGACAGAATGAGGTCTTTGATTTTGATGACAGACAAGGAGAGGTATCTGATCAGTACCGCTCGTTAGGGAAGAGAGAAACTAAAGGGAGTGGTTTGATTCTTCTGTTGTGAAGATTAGAGATAGATGGGCAGGTTCCAGCAGCTCATTCTGTAAGATCAGTGAGGAATCTTGAGGGTCCATGTCTGGTTAGAATTCCAGTCAAACATGTTAGAGACGGTCGTTCGACCTTTATCAAGGGTGTGTCAGTATTATGCTTTGTCATGACTGTGGTATCAGCAACAGTCATTGACAGATAAAATAATGTCGTTGTCAGAACATTTGTTTAAGCCTAGGGTTAGGTGGAATTGGGTTAAGTGAATTAATTTGGGTGCATTTGTTAGATGGAAAGGAAATCAGGTAACAACGGAACCCTGAAGTATTCAGGGGAAACATTGAGGGCTAAAAGTTATTTTTGTTCTAATAAAACATATGAGGTAAAGGGTATGTTTATGGGAATATCAGATTGTGATGATTATATGATGACTTTGGATAAGCATGGCATTAAGGGTAGTAATGAGAAATATAAGGTTACTTTTTATGTACCAGGTAGTAGGAAAGCAGGACTTTGATGGTTCAAAGATTAGCTTGTGCCTGACAATGTGACTATGGGGAATTTTAGGGATATTTAGAGGGTTTGGGGTGATAAAGCATATATATTCTTACATTATGGATGAAGGGATTTGGTTACATGTCAACGTTGAAGCTTTCATATGAGGCTTTTACTATTAAAAGAGGAGTAGCACCGAACACAGATCAATTTGAAACTAGAGTTCAAAATAGGATGAAAAGCGACATGTCATAGGCTTCAAGCCTATCATTGAAGGATAAGTCTAAGGGAGAAGGGGGGACTTTATTCATGGTATGGTGTAACATTTGGGAAGATCATATTGATAAATATTAGTTATACTTTGAGTCCAGATAGTTCAGATAAGATCACTGGGGTTATAGATGCATTATAAGGGATGTGTTTGGGAGATCTGAGAGGATTTGGTTGCAAGATCAATTAGGCCAGTAGGGGCAGTGATGGGTCAGATTTTAGTTTCAGCTTTGATAACACTGTGTGATGTTTGTAATTTGTTACTGACCTTTGAGAAAGTTATGATATTGAGATAGGTTGGAGAGTGATGCCTGGAGACAACACTCAGATGCCGGTGGTGACTGTTCCTGATCTGGATAAAAATGGACAAGTGGAACTGATGGATAAATATCATTTTGATTATTTGATGATTTTTCAATTTTTTTTTTCAATATTGGGGTGATGTTGGTATGATTTATGAATCAAAGGGGGGAATAGGTTTATGTGATTCATGCATCATTTATATATCATTGTTATATTCTTAGTGGATATTGATGTTTAATTTGAAAGGGTTATTTTGCAAAAGATACTGGTTGGTCGTTTCTTTTCTTTTCATTCCAGAAGCATTTGGGAGAACATGTGGAGATTGAAATACTCAAACAAAGACAATATGAAGGGACAATATGACTGGAGGAGATGAAACAAGGAGGGTGTGGCCGATTCCATCATCAACAATCCATTGGAAGTCAAGACTACAGGGAGATGAAGTGTAGTGGACTACATTCCAGTGTCTGCAATGAAATATAGACATGTGTAATACATAATTGTGTAATAGTCTCAGGTATTAATTTTTGTAGAATGATGTTTGATGTTATTGAATACATGTGAGGATCTTAGATGTTTTTGTTTATTTCGGTGAATGCTTAGGGACAGAAAGTCTAGGTAGGGAGAGTTCCACTTTTGGGGTCCAATGGGTTGACCAGCCTTTAGAGTGGATATTTATTGGATAGGATTTTGTTTGCAGGGGCTTACATGTGTATTTAATTGCATCATAGTTTCAAAATGCATTTACATGGTTAATGAGGTTATCGGGAGTACCGAATGGTGGTTGCCTGGGGCAGAGGGACCGTGAGAGAATTTTACTGTCTTGATTGATGGATGGATATCTGAAAAGATGGCTGCCGGACAGTTTTTCGCTCTTACACTCCATAGAGATTTCTTCATATGTCATAGTAATGTATTCACACTTCATATGTCATAGTAATGTATTCCCACTTCATAAACAGTTATTGCATAGAAAGGTATTTACACTCTAGAGAAGAATGTTTTTGGTTTAATGTTAAAGATACTCAATAAGATAAATTGTTACTAGTCATAATCCTATTCTGTTTGTTTTCGAGACGTTTAGTTCGTCTCGAAGGGGGGAATATAGTATCTGAAGATTATGCCTTTGTTAAATGTTTTTCATGAAGAAATGGAATGGTGTTTGTGTTGGTATCAAGAGGGAATGTTTTGGGTGTGACGCCAAGTACAGCAGACCGGAGGTGTGTTGTAGACAGGGGAGACTGGTGATTGGCCAGAGGAGGTAGTTTCATTGTTTATAAATAGGGGGGTTAGGCGAGGAAGACGTCAGAACGGCCATGGCAATCGGGGGAGCCGTTCTCCGGGTGTCATGTCACCTGTCATTTATGCTGTAACCTCGTGATTTTAATAAAAGCCTCTAACACGATGCAGCATAAAACGGACTCTTTGTTGACAGCAATAATGACCACCATTCATCAGATACGACACTATCTTCAAACAAATGTGTTAGGGCCGTAAATATCATAGGGAAAACCCTTCAATCTCAGAGGGTTAAGCCTTATTTGAATGGGACTAGTATAACTAATGCACAGTGTCATGTAGTTAAGACTCTCACAGTATTTTACATTTGGATGGATTTAATTGTTCCATCTCTACTTTCTGCTTTTCCTCCAATTTCTTGATTTTATCAGTCAGTGTTGTTTCATCATGACCATATAGAGCATTTATTTCATCATACTCCTCTTTGTGCTTTTTTATTAGTTTGTTATTTTCTTTATATTGTTCAAACTTTTTTATTTGGTCATTTTGACATAGCTCTCTAAGGTAGTTTAATTCCTCTGCTTGTGTTCTGGCCTCTTCTTCATATTTACCCATACTTTCTTTTGTTTTCCTTTCATACTCTTCCTCCATTTCCTTCATTTTCTTCTCTTCTTTTTCTTTCCTGGCTTCATCTTCCTTCTCTTTCTTTCTTTTCTCTTCTTGTTGCATTTTCTTGATTTTTTGCTCCTCCTCCATTTTTCTATTTTCATCCTCTAGAAATCTTCTTTCCTGTTCCTCTCTATGTTCTCTCTCCCACTGATCTTTCTGCATTGTCATTTTGTCTGTCAACTCTCTCCTCTTTTCTTCAAAGTCTTTTTCAATTTTTCTCTTTCTTTCCACTCTATTTCTCTCCTCTGCTCTTCTAATTCCTTCATCTTTATTCTCTCTTGTTCCCTCTCTCTTTCAAACTCCTCTCTCAATCTCCTTTGTTTTTTCTCTTGTTCTACAAGAGTTTCTACCTCCTTCTGTCTCCTCAGCCTTTCTTCTTCCTGTTGTCTGTCTCTTTCTTTCTTCAACTGTTCCTCCCGTTCCTCTTTTTCTCTACGCATGACCTCTTGGAGTTCTGTTTGACCTTTCTCTGCTTCCTCTATTTTGCTTTGCCATTCTTTCTCTTCCTGTTTCCTCCTCTCATCCTCTTCTTTCTCTCTCTTTTCCATTTCCTCATCCTGTTTCCTTTTCAGTTCTGCAAACTGCCTTTCTTGATTTTTAACCAATTCTTCTCTGTCTTCCTCTTCCTTTCTCTGTTGTTCCATTCTCATTTTATATTCTTTCTCCTTTTCTCTTTGTTGTTTTTCCAACTCTTTTTTCTGAGATTGTATCTCTTTTTCCATCTTCTCTTTTTCTGTGTCCCATGTTTCTTTTTTCAACTTTTCATCTTCTTTCTTTTTCTTGTCCTTCAACTTTCTTTCTTCCTTCTCTGCTTTCTCCTTTTCTTCATGCTCTTTTCTAATAGCTTCCTCTCGCTCTCTCAACATGTTTTCTCTCAGCTGTCTTTCCTCCTGAACTTTCAATCTCTCCTCTTCCAACTTTGACTTCATCTTTTCCATGGCTGTTTCATGGCTGACCTTCAGTTTCTCCATGTCAGCCTTAATCTCCATCTCTCTCTCCTTCAGTATTTCTTCCTGTTTCTGTTTAATGGCTGCCTCTGCCTCCTGGAACATCTCATTGGTGTAGAAACGGCCCTTGTTCATGGACACCATTTCGTTAATCTTCTTAAGAAGCTCAGTGACCTGTGTGCGGTCATCTTCACCTCTGTTGTTGAAGACATGGAGTCTGCCTCCACAATCTCTGATCAGTTTTTTCAGTTTGGCATTCATGCTTTTCCCAATGTAATCTTGAATTGATTTCTTTCCCAAGTCATCTCCTCTAGTAAACAGAACTAAGCAGAACATTCTTGCCTGTGGACCAAAGGTTGTCTCTATGAGGTCCAAAGTGTCCAGCTCCTCTTGCGTGATTCTCCCGATACTCAACACTATGATAAACACATGGGGTCCAGGAGCTGACAGGGAAACATATTTCTCTATCTCTTGCTGAACATCTTTATTAGACAATGTTGTGTCAAAAAGGCCAGGGGTGTCCACCACAGCAACTGTTCTTCCATCAACTTTTCCGACTGCCTTCTTGCAAACCGTTGTCACAGAGTCAGTCCTGGATTCAGACTCAAATGCATCTCTACCCAGGATAGTGTTTGCGGAGGCGCTCTTCCCATTTCCAGTTTTCCCAATCAGCACCACCCTCACGCACTCTGTGCTGGAGCGCTCCATTTCAGCACCTACAAATTAAACAATAAATGATCATAAAATAATGTTAATTACTGCATGAACTGATATTGAAATCAACATAGAAGATTCATACTGTGAAATGCTTGCTTTCCCAATCACTGCCCAATATTTGTTCATCCCTGTGTTCAACAAACTCACCTTGTGACATGTTGCTGACTTTCTGCTCTAAATCCTTGATTATTCTGTTCTTTTCGTCCAGTTCTGATTGATGCTTAGCCTCCATGTACATGTACAGAGTGTAGCATGTCTTGTTCTGATCCATCATTTGGACTATTTCTGCTACAAGCGTCTGCTTGGCGTTCTCAATCTTCAAAGCGTCAAAGATTTTATACCGCCCTCCGCATATCTTGATCAGTTGCTTTGTGTCTGCATTTTGTTCCACAAAGTCAACTGCAGTTTTATCAACTGGAATGTAATCCTGTCTAAACAGGACCATGGCAAAGTCATTGACTCGTGAGCTGAGAACCTTCTGGATGGTCTCGAACTCTCCTTTGTCTTCATCAGTGAGTGGACGCAAAGGTACGACCAGGAGGAAAGCATGGACTCCAGAGTCACAGAGAGAGACACAGCGGAAAGTCTCACGCATCACTTCCTCCTGAGTGAGACGTGTTCCATACAGAGCAGGCAGCTCGATGAGGGTGACCAGCCGACCACACACCTCTCCTTCTCTCTTCACACACACTGAGGAAGAGCTGGACTTTGGACTGGACTCTGTCTGACCCAGTATGGCATTGGCTGTAGAAGTCTTCCCAGCTCCTCTTCTGCCACACAGCACCACGTTCAGTCTCTGAGCCTTTGGTGTCATGGTATCATGTGTCGTCTCTTCATTGGAGGTGAGGTATCTCCATTCATTCTCCTCTACCATCTTTTCTATCTTTTCAGTTAACTCTTTGTGGTCACTTCCTTGTTTGATAATTTCGTGATGCCTTCCTCCACATTCTATGACCATTTGTCTCAGATGAGGATTAACTGCGACTTCCTTGTGAGTAATGATCACCATTGAGTGCTTGAAGGCCTCTTTACCAAATATGCTCAGGATGAACTTCAATGTGTTTCTGTTCTCCTCTGTGAACTCCTCAGGCTTCAACACCAGCAGGATCCCATGAGGCCCAGGGGCAGAGAGGGACTTACATTTCTCCATCTCCTGCATCAGGGACTCCACAGTCAGAGAAAATAAGTCTGGAGTCTTTACAACAGTAACAGACTTGCCCTTCACCTTCCCATTGGCTGACTCACATTGCTGTTTAGAGTTAACGAAACGAGCAGAATTAAAAGCCTGTTTCTGTAGGATCATGTTACCCACTACATTCTTCTTGTCATCACTCTTCCCCAGAAGCACAATCCTGAGTGAAGACACTGTAAAACACATGTAAGATTGATTAATATAAGGATATGCATATTTAACAAAATGTAGTTTACCTGTTTACCAAATTTTTGCACTGGAGGATTGTCCCTGTTGCGAATTAATAATGTTTTTCTCCCAATGCTTGTGAACAAAAAGCTTTACAGTAGTAGTCAGTAATATTGAGTGAGTACAGTTCCAGCATTTTATTTTGCACAGCGATTCCCCTGATATCCCTCACATTGTACGCCAAAGCGCCATATTTAATGGCCACCATAGAGCCCCACAGCGGAGGTGTCATAATACCCATAAAACCTAGCGGTCAAGCAGGGAAATAGTGCCAATCGTTTTTCCACCATTCATTTTTCCAATAAGGGATTTTAGAAACACTTAAAATAAGGGCTGTGTTTCGTGTAGGCTTAGGTAAGAATCTCTGGATTAACTATCTAATGTTATCTAAATGTAGTAATTAATAAATGTGCAACATTTCTTTAAATGGACAATTCTGTGAACTGTCTTGTGCAAGTTTTAAATTGACACAATACCTGTTAGCAAAGGTGTAATCTATGACGTGCAGGAGTTTGCAGAGATTTGTAGTTTGCATGATGTCAACTTTGATGCTAATTAGCATTTTCGAATCTAAGAGTAAATAGAGCCGAAGTCACCTTGTCAGAGAGATATTTACATGGTTATCAAAACGTCACGCCAGGGTAAGCCTACACAAAACACAGCCATTATTTTAAGTCTTTTTAAAATCCCCTATGGAAAAAATGAATGGTGGAAAAACTATTGGAACCATTTCCCTGTTTGACCGCTAGGTTTTATGGGTATTATGACACCTCCACTGTGGGGATCTATATGGCACATCGCTGCACTATGAAGCACCTCAAAAATCATCTCTAAATGTTGAGCAGCATTTCTCTTTGTATCCACCAGAGGGAGTAATGACCTCAAATTGATAGATGCTGTTGGTTTATGAGCTGTGAACTCATCAAATCAAATCTAATTTTATTGGTCACATACACGTGTTTAGCAGTTGTTATTGCGGGTGTAGCGAAATGCTTGTGCTTCTAGCTCCGACAGTGAAGTACTATCTAACAAGTAATATCTAACAATTTCACATATACCAAATACACACAAATCTAAGTAAGGAATGAATTAAGAATATATACAGTGAGGGGAATAAGTATTTGATCCCCTGCTGATTTTGTACGTTTGCCCACTGACAAAGAAATGATCAGTCTATAATTTTAATGGTAGGTTTATTTGAACAGTGAGAGACAGAATAACAACCAAAAAATTCCAGAAAAACGCATGTCAAAAATGTTATAAATTGATTTGCATTTTAAATTAGGGAAATAATTATTTGACCCCTCTGCAAAACATGACTTAGTACTTGGTGGCAAAACCCTTGTTGGCAATCACAGAGGTCAGACGTTTCTTGTAGTTGGCCACCAGGTTTGCACACATCTCAGGAGGGATTTTGTCCCACTCCTCTTTGCAGATCTTCTCCAAGTCATTAAGGTTTCGAGGCTGACGTTTGGCAACTCAAACCTTCAGCTACCTCCACAGATTTTCTATGGGATTAAGGTCTGGAGACTGGCTAGGCCACTCCAGGACCTTAATGTGCTTCTTCTTGAGCCACTCCTTTGTTGCCTTGGCCGTGTGTTTTGGGTCATTGTCATGCTGGAATACCCATCCACGACCCATTTTCAATGCCCTGGCTGAGGGAAGGAGGTTCTCACCCAATATTTGACGGTACATGGCCCCGTCCATCATCCCTTTGATGCGGTGAAGTTGTCCTGTCCCCTCAGCAGAAAAACACCCCCAAAGCATAATGTTTCCACCTCCATGTTTGACGGTGGGGATGGTGTTCTTGGGGTCATAGGCAGCATTACTCCTCCTCCAAACACGGCGAGTTGAGTTGATGCCAAAGAGCTCCATTTTGGTCTCATCTGACCACAACACTTTCACCCAGTTCTCCTCGGAATCATTCAGATGTTCATTGGAAAACTTCAGACGGGCATGTATATGTGCTTTCTTGAGCAGGGGGACCTTGCGGGTGCTGCAGGATTTCAGTCCTTCACGGCGTAGTGTGTTACCAATTGTTTTCTTGGTGACTATGGTCCCAGCTGCCTTGAGATCATTGACAAGATCCTCCTGTGTAGTTCTGGGCTGATTCCTCACCGTTCTCATGATCATTGCAACGCCATGAGGTGAGATCTTGCATGGAGCCCCAGGCCAAGGGAGATTGACAGTTATTTTGTGTTTCTTCCATTTGCGAATAATCGCACCAACTGTTGTCACCTTCTCACCAAGCTGCTTGGCGATGGTCTTGTAGCCCATTCCAGCCTTGTGTAGGTCCACAATCTTGTCCCTGACATCCTTGGAGAGCTCTTTGGTCTTGGCCATGGTGGAGAGTTTGGAATCTGATTGATTGATTGCTTCTGTGGACAGATGTCTTTTATACAGGTAACAAGCTGAGATTAGGAGCACTCCCTTTAAGAGTGTGCTCCTAATCTCAGCTCGTTACCTGTATAAAAGACACCTGGGAGCCAGAAATCTTTCTGATTGAGAGGGGGTCAAATACTTATTTCCCTCATTAAAATGCAAATCAATTTAAAACATTTTTGATATGCGTTTTTCTGGATTTTGTTGTTGTTATTCTGTCTCTCACTGTTCAAATAAACCTACCATTAAAATTATAGACTGATCATGTCTTTGTCAGTGGGCAAACGTAGAAAATCAGCAGGGGATCAAATACTTTTTTCCTTCACTGTACATATATGGACGAGCGATCATACCACATTCTAATCATTAAAAGTGTTAACACAACAATGACATGAGCATTATACTAGACTTTAAAGTACAGTAGGACCTCAGAGATATGAACACATTGGTAATGGAGGTCAGCAGAATATTGAAATGGACATCAGTGAATAATAAAACGTATATATATTTTATTTGGTTACGTCTACCTACACAGCTTTTGTACCATATTTTCCTCTCAGGAAAGACATTTAGAAAGCAGAAACACCAATAATGAAAATGTGTCCTAATGACAAATCCTTACCGAGCCGTAGCTCTCCCTCTTTAATAGAAAATAGTTGCAATATGGTGTATAAACTACTGAATTTTACCCACCACATTTTTCTTCACTGCTTGGCTCCCCTCTTTCTTCCTTAAGTGATACCAATCCTGAAAAAAAGTTGACTATCAATTTCAGTGACTTCCTCTTTGCAGTCCATTTAAACCAGTTATTCATTAAACAAAATTTAATTGTCAGTGGTATTCAATGCTCATCTCACTATAACTTTTGTGCTCTCTGTATACTTACCAATTTCTCTAATTTTCACCCAATTGTCCAATTGTGCTGATTCACCTTGTTCCAAAACATCCTTTCCAAGTTCTTCCTCAGAGGAAGATTTGAGGCTCCAATCAGTTTTAGTCCTGTGGATTTCCTCTTTCCCTTGTACCATGCCACTTGTAGTATCTTCAGATAGCTCACAGGTGAGATAGCCTCCTCCATTCTCCTTTACAATCTTGTCAACATCTGCCATAAGTTGAGTGCGGTCACTGAGGTGCTGCCTCCCTCTACAGGCGCTGACCATCTGATTCAGAGGGTGATCATCATGCATGTGTCCCCTCTTGTCTTCATGAGTTATCAGTACCATTGAGTATTCAAAGGACCGGTCACTGAGGTTGTCTAGGATTTGCCTGATTCTGTTTCCCTCTTCTTGTGTGAACTCCTCAGGCTGCAGGACCAACAGGAACACATGAGGTCCTGGGTCAGACAGAGTGACACACCAACGCAGTTCCTCTAAGAGTTTGTCATGTGAGATGTGAGGGTCTAACAGGTCTGGAGTGTTGATCACAGCTATGCCTCTTCCGTCTACTTGACCCCTGGCTCTCTCACAGCGACTTTGTACATAGTTGGGGTCAAATGCCCCTCTATCCAGGATGACGTTTCCAACAGCACTCTTCTCAGAGCCATTCTTGCCGAGCAGCACAATCCTTAGCTCTGTAGGACTTTCAGACACTGTAACATAAACACAACCACAACCAAGTTAAAATGTCTGCTGTAAAACATTGTTGAAAATGTTGACACTTACATTTTTGTTTGCTTTTCTTTCAGGATAACACCATGAACATTACGCACCATATTACAACAGAACAACATAAATGCACAACTCTTCAATCTAGACAGAGGAATTGAAAATCAGTTGATATTTTATTGATCACTCACTCTTTGGGGGCAATAACTCCACACTGTTGTGTCTCTGGACCCCTGGATTCGAGACTGAAAACACATCAAATTAACACAAGCATAAGTATTTTATAAAGATGTTAATGGTGATTGTTGCTTGAATTGAATTTGTGTAACGCAGGGCAGTAATAAATGAGCGATTTAAAGAATAACTGAAATAATTTTCTGAAAAGCAAAAAGGAACAGTTATAACCACAAATAGGTGCTAAGTGGCATAAAAAAATCCAACTCCAGGCACTATTGAGGGTTTGGGAGTTAAAAACCCTTTAATGTATGGGCTAAAACGTTATTAAAATACACCAACGCATATCGTCTTCATCAGGTCAGACACCCTGATTCCCCTCTAAGACCAGCTGTGGTTCTTGTGGAATAAAGTCCATAGCATCAATGCCTTCCTCTTGCAGGAACTGCTGACACACTCCAGCCATATGAGGTCTAGCATTGTCTTGCATTAGGAGGAACCCAGGGCCAACCGCACCAGCATATGGTCTCACAAGGGGTCTGAGGATCTCATCTCGGTACCTAATGGCAGTCAGGCTACCTCTGGCGAGCACATGAAGGGCTGTGTGGCCCCCCCCAAAGAAATGCCACCCCACACCATTACTGACCCACCGCCAAACCGGTCATGCTGGAGGATGTTGCAGGCAGCAGAACGTTCTCCACGGCGTCTCCAGACTCTGTCACGTCTGTCACGTGCGAACAGTGTGAACCTGCTTTCATCTGTGAAGAGCACAGGACGCCAGTGGCGAATTTGCCAATCTTGGTGTTCTCTGGCAAATGCCATACGTCCTGCACGGTGTTGGGCTGTAAGCACAACCCCCACCTGTGGACGTCGGGCCCTCATACCACCCTCATGGAGTCTGTTTCTGACCGTTTGAGCAGACACATGCACATTTGTGGCCTGCTGGAGGTCATTTTGCAGGGCTCTGGCAGTGCTCCTCCTGCTCCTCCTTGCACAAAGGCGGAGGTAGCAGTCCTGCTGCTGGGTTGTTGCCCTCCTACGGCCTCCTCCACGTCTCCTGATGTACTGGCCTGTCTCCTGGTAGCGCCTCCATGCTCTGGACACTACGCTGACAGACGCAGCAAACCTTCTTGCCACAGCTCGCATTGATGTGCCATCATGGATGAGCTGCACTACCTGAGCCACTTGTGTGGGTTGTATACTCTGTCTCATGCTACCACTACAGTGAAAGCACCGCCAGCATTCAAAAGTGACCAAAACATCAGCCAGGAAGCATAGGAACTGAGAAGTGGTCTGTGGTCATCACCTGCAAAACCAGTCCTTTATTGGGGGTGTCTTGCTAATTGACTATAATTTCCACCTATTGTCTATTCCATTTGCACAACAGCATGTGAAATTTATTGTCAATCAGTGTTGCTTCCTAAGTGGACAGTTTGATTTCACAGTGTCATAGGGTGCTGAAGGTGGGTGTGGTGCAGGAATCAAGCGCAGGACGCAGAAGCTCAGTCCAAAAGACTTTAGTGAAATATTCACGTAGTAAATGAGCACAATAAGCCCGGAGGCGAAATAACGGCGCACGCAGGCGTCAAACAAACGGCGCACTAACATGTGCAAAAACCTCTCCAAACACTGGAGGGAAGTACGTAGCTCAAACACCAAAACAGAAGAGCAATCACACACAAACACAGACACACACAACGAGAACTAAATAGGACACTAACGAGGACTAACTAGACACAGGTGTACAACATCAAGACAAAACCAAACGAACATGAAACATAGATCGGTGGCAGCTAGTACTCCGGGGACAACGACCGCCGAAGCAATGCCCGAACCAGGAGGAGGAGCAGCCTCGGCCGAAACCGTGACACACAGAAGTGTGATTGACTTGGAGTTACATTGTGTTGTTTAAGTGTTCCCTTTATTTTTTTGAGCAGTGTATATTTTATTTGGTTACATCTACCTACACAGCTTTTGTACCATATTTGCCTCTCAGGAAAGACATTTAGAAAGCAGAAACACCAATAATGAAAATGTGTCCTAATCAGGGGCGGTCTGTTCAATAGGGCGATATGGGCGACGCACTGCCAAACGGGAAAAGGAAGGGAATTTTTTTCTAATCAATTATATCACGGCAACAGTAGTTATCAGTGTTGTAATCTGCCACAGTGCCACACTGCCACTAAATGTCCAATCAGGCGAAAGTCGTGCTTCAAATGGCTCCCCCCCCCTTTTGGGGCGATTTCAGTCAGGTTGAAAATCGCCCAGAAGTCTGTCATAGACTCCCATGTAAAATCTATTTTTTTCAAATTTCAGAGCTTTCAATACAATCTCTATGGGCTTCTGAGGGCTTGCACTTACGCGCTTTCGTCATACGTAACGTAACCATGAACGTAACTAAGAAAAGAGCGGGCAGCCTCATCAATCAATTCACGTACTACTATTACATTTTACATTTTAGTCATTTAGCAGACGCTCTTATCCAGAGCGACTTACAGTTAGTGAGTGCATACATTATTATGTTTTATTATTTTTTCATACTGGTCCCCCGTGGGAATCGAACCCACAACCCTGGCGTTGCAAACGCCATGCTCTACCAACTGAGCTACATCCCTGCCGGCCATTCCCTCCCCTACCCTGGACGACGCTGGGCCAATTGTGCGCCGCCCCATGGGTCTCCCGGTCGCGGCCGGCTACGACAGAGCCTGGATTCGAACCGGGATCTCTAGTGGCACAGCTAGCACTGCAATGCAGTGCCTTAGACCACTGTGTCAATTCAAACACTCACAAACTGCCCTTCTCTTAGGCATAATCTGTGTCCAGGAAACGGCCCCTGTGTATATAGTTAATTCCCTTCAAAAAAGGTTGTGATTAGTTAGACCATTCCTGGTCAACAAGCAAACCAATAGGCTACAGCAGTTCTAATGGTTTCAATGTTATGGTCTCTAAAGGTATTCAATGGTCATGAATTGGGTTTAATGGTAAATGTCACTAATCAAACATATAGAGATGTTTTCTAATCATTTTATTGAAAATCATAAGACTGATCTGTTTTTAATTATATTATTTTATTAGGGTTGTCACATTTTAGTCACTAGTCCATTTCGCCACCACATTCATTTTTTACATTTTTAGTCATTTAGCAGACACTCTTATCCAGAGCGACTTACAGTTAGTGAGTGCATACATTTTTTATATTTTTTTTATACTGGAATCGAACCCACAACCCTGGCGTTGCAAATGCCATGCTCTACCAACTGAGCTACATCCCTGCCGGCCATTCCCTCCCCTACCTTGGACGACGCTGGGCCAATTGTGCGCCGCCCCATGGGTCTCCCGGTCGCGGCCGGCTATGACAGAGCCTGGATTCGAACCAGGATCTCTAGTGGCACAGCTAGCACTGCGATGCAGTGCCTTAGACCACTGCGCCACTCGGGAGAGCCAATGCATTCATGAGAAATGCACCATAGGGATAGCCCTCTCAGAATGCTGCCATTTGTTGGACTATTCGAGAAGAGTTGGATTGGGAGACTGGCTTGATTTGTGAGGATGACAACACCATTTATTTTCATAATGAGCAATAAAAAAGTGATTAATTGAATAAACACAAGAGACAAGCAAAATTGATAAAGGGGTGTGACAGTAACAGCAGAAACAGCGACATCTCGTGGACAAAACTGGCACTTTCACACTAATTCATGGGGGAAAATGCAAGTAGAGAGCTGCATTCCCCCGGGATGTCTGTGGGACCTGCGGGTCCCGACAGAGATCATTGTGGCGCGGTCTGCATCTTTCATGCTGCAGGTAGAAGCGGGCTGTCAAACAGACAACTTTGGGATTACTGTATACTTTTTTTTGTCCCACAGATTATTTGGAAACGGTCATCTTTCTGCTTTGTATGCTTTATTCTACATATTGTATTAAAAACACCCCTGTCGCATTATTCACACTCAGAATTCGCTGCCTCAAGTTCAGTAGCCTACCTCTCCTCTCCTAGTTGGACGTGCGAGATCAAGGGAGCCTAGTATATGTGTGGTCTCAATTAAATAGAGTAGGCTGCCTATGCATGTGTGGAGAATCACGTGCCAGTTATCTTTCAGAGGAAATTTACTTAAATATGAATAGCCTATAGTTTACTACAGTGTCTGTAAATAAATATTGATAATGGAAAGAAGTGGAGGGCACTCAATCAACGTGAGTCGAGGTACATCCAAAAAAGCAAGCGTTGCGCCTTTTTATTTTCAATAAATATTGGATTACCCATTTATTAGTCTCTGCCTGCAAATCGTCCTCCTAAAAGGTAGGCTATATCCTATAGCCTATGCAAAATGTAGCTCAAGAAAAAGTTTGAGTGTCCGCTCTCATTATTCTTACTGCTTCAAGTTCAGTAGCCATACATGCAAGATCAGGTGCATGTGGTCTCAACTAAAGTAGTAGGCTATAGCCTATGCATGGGTGGAAAAGCATGGGGTAGTTATCTTTCCAAGGAAATTAACTTCCTAAATATGAATAGGCTATGGTTTACTACATATTGATCACCCATATTTGTCTCCATCTGAAAATCGTCCCACTCTTAAAAAGTAGGCTATAAAACGTAGCTCAAGAGAAAGTGCCTGCTCTCTTTCCAACTCTGCTTCTTTCAAACTACATCTAGCCTATTGGCTGATATAGCCCAGGAATACAGATAGCCTAATATAATGGGCCACGTGAGAATCTCTGGAAATGTAACCTATTTCTGAAGTTATTTTTGGCATTTGATATTGCCTATATGGCACAAAATTGTTGGGACCATGGCTGGCAAGTGAGCTGCGTCACATACGTCTAAAATAACATTGCAGGACTGCGGTTGGGTTCGGGACCAGTTCTTGCGGTAGCGGGTGGGAGTCGGACAGAAAGCCAGCGGGAGCGGTATGAAAAGCTGGTGAAAAAAAATCGGAGATTCCAAACTTAGAAGAGGAGGACAGAGCTGTCGACCCATCGGGGAGTTTCTCTGAGGCACTGACGACAACAGATATAAGTGTTTATAGAGTCAGTGCCCCCTCATCCCTGAAAAACATGTCCCCATCCTACGGGCTGAGAGGCGTGGCATCGCAGCTGAACAAGACTGCGATGTTTGGGTTAGTCCTGAGGCTGAGCGGCCTAGCTGGGAGACCGCACTCACTCAAGTCGTCGCTCTTCCTGGGCTCTGTGTTGGACTGTTGCTGGTGTTTTCGGAAAGTGTTGACGGGCAGGGAGACGGGAGTTTGGCATTATATTCTGAGGGGACACCATCAGGGTTCGGAACACTGTTCGCTGGGACAGCTTCCTCTGGGCTGGCATGCCTCAATCACAAGCTGTTGCACTTTAATTTTGATGGTTGGATGTTTTGGAGCTGCAGATTAGAAGCGTGCACCAAGATGACGTCGAAAGGCACGTTTGTGGTTCTTTCTGAGGAAACAGCATCAAAATCGCATTTTGCTTCAGTGTTTATAATATGTAAGCCACTATTTGTTACATGTACTTCCTTGACAGAACAATCAAGTCCTTGGCATAAGTCTGTTAAATGTGTCTATCTTGCTACAATAATCAGTGCCCACATCTGTAGACCAATCATCATTCGATAAATACAAATCCATATCCCTGCTCTTCATGTCCGAATCAGCAGAGTTTGTGAAAGTGCAATTCTGTTGATGCTTGTCTATACAGAGAGATGGATTCCCTGGCCCTGGCTCCGCATTTGAATCCTTAGGTGTAACTGAGTTAAAATCTTGAGTCTCCCCCGCACAATCCCGGAGTTCTCCCTACTATCAAGATGGCTATAGCGTTCAGTGCAACTCGATTGTCTCTTTGAAATAAGTTACTTTTTGTCGGCGAACAAATCAAGATAAATTGGCAACGAAACAATTAGGACCTCCCAGACCAAATTTAATAATTCAACAGGTTTCTACTAAAGGCGGAAAGTCCTACACCCGAGGATTTTTCTGTTTGAGATTGTCTGCTTTGGGGAGTGAACATTGCCACTCAACTGGATGAGGGATACAGGCTAGCTGTCCGCCGCCACAACGATGAGGTTAGTGTTGATAATCACAAGTTTACTGGAGAACTGAGACCAAGTAGAGACTTTGGACAGGGTGGATATGGTATAATAAAGGCAGTTTATTCAGAGGTAAAGATATCTGGAATCGCGTGCACGGACCCGTTCGTCAAACTATTAGGGAGCTATACATTAAGCCCCATTACTTACCATATCAGATAAGAGAAATTGCTGCAGCTACATATATTTTACATCCTGGCCCTACATAGTTCACTATTTGCATCACTTACCAAAATATTACATGTGGTCATATATGCTTGGAAAGTGGAGATGCCATAGAACGTCAAAAAAGTAAACATTGCTGGAGACACATTGCCGTTTTGGAGAAGACATCGCGTTTGCTAGCGAAGAGATTTGTTGTGGCAAATTAACTTGGGCTGGGAATTGCCAGGAACCTCACGATAAGATATATGCATTGCGAGTCTCATGATTCTATACGTATTGCGATTCGATACTGTGATTTTATTGCGCACCATATGTCTGTTGCAGAGGGATCAGAAAGCCATGAGAACGAGTTTTGACCAGTCATGGAAATAAAAGTGCTGAAAACAAATTGGCTCCCCAATGTGAAAAGATTGAGAACAAGCTATGAAGGAACAATAATGGTGTTTTGGTGCAGGTACAGCCAACTAGCGCTAAAATATTGCGATATTGTCAATACAGTATATCGTAAAGTATCACTATGTAACTCGATTTCTTTCACCCCAATCCCTAAAATTAACGGTAAATAACTGAATTGTTTGCCCCACATTTAGCTAAGATGATTAGCTAGCCAGCTAAAATGTTTTATTTAGTTAGCAGTCGCATCTACAATAGTTTACTGTCAATAACATGTCTCCAAAAATGACGTGGTGTCTCCAATTGTGTTGACATTTTACAATTGCGATGCGCATCCATGAGTATCCACTTTCTGTAGCTCAGCTGGTAGAGCACGGCGCTTGTAACGCCAAGGTAGTGGGTTCGATCCCCGGGACCACCCATACACAAAAATGTATGCACGCATGACTGTAAGTCGCTTTGGATAAAAGCGTCTGCTAAATGGCATATTATTATTATTATTATTATTATTATCTGAAGAGAGCCCCGAAACATTGTGTGCAGACATTTTATGCAATAAATGAAGTAGGTTGAATCTAGTAGTTCTGATCTTCTGATTGGTCCTGATGAGTTGGGCGAGGTCCCCTCCAGGCTACTGTCACTGTTGCATTGGCTCTGAGTCGGGTTCTCTGTCTTCAAATGTTCAGCCTAAGAGAGGGGATTTTTGTGTGTGTGTGTGTGTGTGTGTGTTTAACAGTGATGATGTGTGTGTGTGTGTGTGTGTGTGTGTTTAACAGTGATGATGTGTGTGTGTGTGTGTTTGTGTGTGTGTGTGTGTGTGTCCTCAGAGCAAGAACTCGTGAGTTGGAAGAACTGAGAGGCCTATGGCGTGGGTGTTGTCCTTGGCCACCTGCTGACAAGGCTGACAAGATAGGACCCTTTTGTCCATTGTTATTGGATAGGAACAGAACTTATAACCAGCTCCTGACCTAAATAGATCTTAGCACAACATTTTACTCAACATATCATATTCCATATTCACTATAACAAATATATTTACTACGACATTAGCAAGAACCGCCACATCCTCAGCCGGCTAATCCAGTGTGTGAAGTTTTGCGGAGTGTTTGAGTTAGCTTTGCGAGGCAAAGATGAAACTGAGGGCTCCACCAACCCTGGTAAGCCAACACTTTTGAGATCAGTCAATAAATGCTTCTGGTATTGACTTATATGCTGCCCCTGTCTTCATGTTGTTGCTGGACATATCTTTTTTAAAATGTGTGTAGGTCACCTAAATCATCAGAAAAATTGCCCCCCCTGAGAATTTTTTCAGGAGCCGCCACTGGTCCTAATGACAAATCCTTACCGAGCCGTAGCTCTCTCTGTTTAATAGAAAATAGATGCAATATGGTGTATAACTACTGAATTTTACCCACCACATTTTTCTTCACTGCTTGGCTCCCCTCTTCCTTCCTTAAGTGCTACCAATCCTGAAAGAAAGTTGACAATATCCATTTCAGTGACTTCCTCTTTGCAGTCCATTTAAACCAGTCATAATGAAACAAAAGTTAATTGTCAGTGGTATTCAATGCTGATCTCACTACAACTTTTGTGTTAAGTTTTGTCAGTGTGCTGTATACTTACCAATTTCTCTCATATTGTCCAATTGTGCTGATTCACCTTGTTCCAAAACATCCTTTTCAAGTTCTTCCTCAGAGGAAGATTTGAGGCTGCCATCAGTTTTAGTCCTGTGGATTTCCTCTTTCCCTTGTACCATGCCACTTGTAGTATCTTCAGATAGCTCACAGGTGAGATAGCCTCCTCCATTCTCCTTTACAATCTTGTCAACATCTGCCATTAGTTGAGCGGGGTCACTGAGGTGCTGCCTCCCTCTACAGGCGCTGACCATCTGATTCAGAGGGTGATCATCATGCATGTGTCCCCTCTTGTCTTCATGAGTTATCAGTACCATTGAGTATTCAAAGGACCGGTCACTGAGGTTGTCTAGGATTTGCCTGATTCTGTTTCCCTCTTCTTGTGTGAACTCCTCAGGCTGCAGGACCAACAGGAACACATGAGGTCCTGGGTCAGACAGAGTGACACACCAACGCAGTTCCTCTGAGAGTTTGTCATGTGAGATGTGAGGGTCTAACAGGTCTGGAGTGTTGATCACAGCTATGCCTCTTCCGTCTACTTGACCCCTGGCTCTCTCACAGCGACTTTGTACATAGTTGGGGTCAAATGCCCCTCTATCCAGGATGACGTTTCCAACAGCACTCTTCTCAGAGCCATTCTTGCCGAGCAGCACAATCCTTAGCTCTGTAGGACTTTCAGACACTGTAACATAAACACAACCACAACCAAGTTAAAATGTCTGCTGTAAAACATTGTTGAAAATGTTGACACTTACATTTTTGTTTGCTTTTCTTTCAGGATAACACCATGAACATTACGCACCATATTACAACAGAACAACATAAATGCACAACTCTTCAATCTAGACAGAGGAATTGAAAATCAGTTGATATTTTATTGATCACTCACTCTTTGGGGGCAATAATTCCACACTGTTGCGTCTCTGGACCCCTGGATTCGAGACTGAAAACACATCAAATTAACACAAGCATAAGTATTTTATAAAGATGTTAATGTTGATTGTTGCTTGAATTGAATTTGTGTAACGCAGGGCAGTAATAAATGAGCGATTTAAAGAATAACTGAAATAATTTTCTAAGTGGCATAAAAAAATCAAACTCCATGCACTATTGAGGGTTTGAAAGTTAAAAACCCTTTAATGTATGGGCTAAATGTTATTAAAATACACCAACGCATATCGTCTTCATCAGGTCAGACACCCTGATTCCCCTCTAAGAGCAGCTGTGGTTCTTGTGGAATACCTGAAGCACTCCTGCTACTTCTTTTCTCCTGAAATAATGTTTTGTTGAGTAGCTATGTAGGTATCGCTAAGCTAATTTAATGTCATATCAACGTTATTATGATAAAAAATTACAATAAGAATAAGAATTATTTTAAACAGCTTTTATGAATATGTCAAGGTTTCTAAGCTTTGAAAGCACAGGACTGACGGGCGTGAATTAATATAATTCAAGTTGACTGACAACCCATTTCCTATACAGCTGCTGCTAACGTTAGCTACTGTTCAAGATGACAAGAGCAGTTTTTCCACTGGTCAGCCCATACATTTAGCTGTTATCAACAATAAAACATCATACCTGGTGAAAAGTGCTTTTGTACTAGGATTCTGAAGAGAAATTCTAACAGGATGGAGGTGAATGCTAAAGTTAGCTATCTAGCTACCTACCTTGCTAGATAGTGTAGCGATCCTCGCTATATGAGCCACATTACACTGAGCATTATTCAAAGGTTGCACCTCCGTCACTTGGTCGCGTCATGCCATTGTTATGAACGTTCTCAAGCCAACCTCTCTCGGTGGCTCCATAGTGGTGCCCTAAAGTGGTGATAAGCCCAGTCATTCTGGATGGAGGCTAACTACTGTTTAGTCTAAATTACACTATAAAGGGAGCAGAGTTTCAACATGGCTATGTAAATACGTGTTCCAAGGCCTCTCCACTAAGGGTTAATACTTTTATGTTTTAACCTCTTATCTAATAAAAACGAGTACACACTTTGCACACCTACTGGCTCTAGCAACATTTGGGTGGCATTCTTGGATATGTCTTGAACCAGGAAAACGAGACGAAACAGTAAACAAGAAGACACGACGAAGACTAGCAACAAGATGGTGGATGCTAACGTTATGGAGATGCTAGTCACCATCCGCGCAGAAATGGCGGATGGTTCATGGCCTCGTTCCTTCAAGACGTGCTCGGCAGAGGGACGTTTGACAGGCCCCCAGTCATCGACAGGGCGCATCGCACTCTAGCGGCAAAACCACAGCCTGGTCATCCTCCCAGAGCAATGCTGGTCTGCCTGCATTACTTCCAGACCAAAGAGGAAAGTCTTCGGACCTCCCGCGAAAGAGGACAGCTGAACTACAATGGCAAGCGGAGCCTTCGGAAAGTATTCAGACCCCTTGTTAGGCTACAGCCTTATTCTAAAATGGATTAAATTCTTTTTTTCCTCGTCAATCTACCCACAATACCCCATAATGACAAAGCAAAAACAGGTTTACAAAGTTTTGTTAATTTATTAAATATACATATACATAACTATTCAGACCCTTTACTCAGTACTTAGTTGAAGCACCTTTGGCAGCAATTACAGCCTCAAGTCTTCTTGGGTATGACGCTATAAGCTTGGCACACCTGTATTTGGGGAGTTTCTCCCATTCATCTCTGCAGTTCCTGTCAAGCTCTGTCAGGTTGGATGGGGAGCGTAGCTGCAAAGCTATTCTCAGGTCTCTCCAGAGATGTTCGATCGGGTTCAAGTCCAGGCTCTTGCTGGGCCACTAAAGGACATTCAGAGACTTGTCCCAAAGCCACTCCTGCGTTGTCTTAGCTGTATGCTTAGGGTCGTTGTCCTGTTGGAAGGTGAACCTTCGCCCCAGTTTGAGGTCCTGAACGCTCTGGAGCAGATTTTAATCAAGGATCTCTCTGTACTTTGCTCCGTTCATCTTTGCCTCGATCCTGACTAGTCTCCCAGTCCCTGCCACTGAAAAACATCACCACAGCATGGTTCTGCCTCCACCATGCTTCACCGTAGGGATGGTGCCAGGTTTCCTCCAGACGTGACGCTTGGCATCCAGCCCAAAGAGTTCAATCTCGGTTTCATCAGACCAGATAATCTTGTTTCTCATGGTCTGAGAGTCTTTAGGTGCCTTTTGGCAAACTCCATTTGGGCTTTTGTGCCTTTTACTGAGAAGTTGCTTCAGTATGGCCACTCTACCATAAAGGCCTGATTGATGGAGTGCTGCAGAGATGGTTGTCCTTCTGGAAGGTGCTCCCATCTCCACAGAGGAACTCTAGAGCTCTGTCAGAGTGACCATTGGGTTCTTAGTCACCTCCCTGACCAAGGCCCTTCTCCCCCGATTGCTCAGTTTAGCTTGGCGGGCAGCTCTAGGAAGAGTCTTGGTGGTTCCAAACTTCTTCCATTTAAGAATGATGGAGGCCATTGTGTTCTTGGGGACCTTCAATGCTGCAGAAATGTTTTGGTACCCTTTCCCAGATCTGTACCTCGACACAATCCTGTCTCGGCGCTCTACGGTCTATTCCTTCGACCTATTCCTTCGGCTGCTAAAGCAACCATAAGGGGTTATGTCATTTCCCAAGCCTCTATGATCAAGAAGCTTAGAATGAAAAATAGGGAAAAATTGGAGGCTGAAGTAAAGCATTTAGAACTTTTTCCTAAACAAAAACCAATGATGCTGAAAAGGCCTTCGATAGAGTTGAGGGGAAATTCTTGTTTGCTGTATTAGAAATAGTTAATCTGGGTGACCATTTTATTAATTTAGTAAAATTACTTTATTCTCACCCATCAGCGGCAGTTAACACAAATGGTAAATTATCTGAAAGATTTCCTATCGGTAGGGTCAGTCGTCAAGGCTGTCCTTTATCTCCTGCTCTGTTCTCGTTAGTCATAGAACCACTGGCTGAGGCAATAAGGTCTAGTAATAACATCAGGGGCATCTCTGTGGGTGACAAAGAGCATAGAATTTAAATATTTGTTGATGATGTGCTTTTATATGATGATGTGTTTATATCTCTAAACCAGAGACCTCTGTCACTGTAGTAATGGACATCATATCTGAATATGTGACTCTTTTCAGGAAACTAGGCATATGTCGCACGTCACTACTTCACAGGAGAGCCATTTGAACGTAAACATTTTTTAAAAATCTAACTGCGTTTTTTGGGCAGAAATGCATTCTGGAACATGTGAACTTTCATGTGCCTTAATAACAAACTTGTATGCCATTTGTTAATACGAATACAATTGTTAAATTACAAGCTTAGTTGGTTTAGCCACAGAAAAAGACAGCAACCTTCCCGCTAGCCATGATTGGCTGAGATAATGAGTGGGCTGGACATGCCAAGAGATGAGTTCGGATTGGTCTGCCATGTTGCACGCTTCTGTCTATTTGAGCTGATCAGTATGTGTAGGAAATCCTGTCTAACAGGGCTTTAAAAAATATATATCCCGTAGTAGAACTGCATAAGTGTTGCTCTCCACTTTCTGGAGTAACGTCATAAATTGGGATTATGGTTCATTGTTTAGCTAGCTAGCTAGCTACATGTCTTAACAAAAGACTCCACTATGCAAGTAATCAATTCAATAGAATATTAATGATGTCACTGCGAAAACTGTTGATAGACGTAGCTGGTAAATTCGCTCTGGCTATCTACTCCAATTTCAGAGCACTCTCGTCTGAGTGTGCCAGAGCGCAGAATGACTGACGAATTTACGAACGCTCAACACCCGTTGAATATGGCTGGTGTCAGTAAACGTTGGCAAAAAAGTGTAAATTGTTGCCAGCAGCACAGTTGCCGTCACCAACGCTCTGGATAACATGAAAACAGACAAACCAGCTCTGCTAGAGCGAGTAAAATGGTTAGTGAGCTGTTCTCTCATTTGTGTCTGGAAGTAGCTAGCAAGCTAGCCAATATTAGCCAGTTAGCTTGGGTGCTAGACTGCTGTTGTTAGGACAGAATGCTCAGATCAACCCTTAAAGAGATGGGTGGGCCTAAAGCTTAAAAGGGTGTGAACAATGCTGAATGGGTGTGGACAGAGAAGGGCTCTCCAGTAGCAGTACCAAAACATTCAAAGGCCATTTTCTCAAAAGTGAGGTTGCAAGTTTATCAACTTTGAAAACATAATTACTTTCCCATTGTTCCTCAACTGTAGTGTATGATATACAATTTTCTAGCCCTGAGTCTACTT